TATAATCAATAGTCAATGTGGCTGCATTTGCAAATTAGCACAGGATAGAGAAAGAGGTAGTTGTGAACTAGGGAAATCATGTAGAACTACTTGGAAGAGCAGCTTCTCAGATGAGTTAGAAAGACAGATCAGATTACTAAAGGTCGAAAGCCAGATAGGAGGTATAGCCACAAGAACAAAGATATTATAGATGTGCTGTGTGGGTAGCACAATGTAGAGACTAACAAGTCTAGGCAGGTATAAATGTGAAGGGAATGAACATTGCCAGAGAGGGAGGATGGTACTGCCTACTGGAGGGTTTTGAAATGAAAACTAAAAGTCCCCTCTGTCCCCACTACCCACAGTCACAATGAAATGATTAACAATATATTTTTGAAATTTGCCAGAAATGCCTTCCATAGAGTTCTTTTTAAATTAAAAATCTTTATTTTTCAAACTATGTTACCTTTTCAGTCACCCTAATGCAGCACAGTGACTACATTGTACCATACCTAAGTTACACAGATGCTGAAAGCAAAAAATTCCCCCATAAGTACCACATGGTCTGTTTAAAGGCAACTGAAAAAAAAATCTCTATACTCTCTTAAAAATTACAAAAACCAAAATGCCTTTTCAGTCCTTGACAAATAATTCATCAGTGTAATCTTTCCCATTTGCACATGTTGGTAGAATCTGCTCTGCTGGCATGCATGAAGAAAATACAAATGTTCCAGGAATCTGATGTGATTCCTTGTTAATGATATTTTCTGCTCCAGTCTTTCAGCCAAGAAATAATCAGAGAATAAGTAGGGGCCTATCTTTCTGTCGGGGGTATACACAAAAACAGAAACTCAGTTTTAGATAATCCAGCTGTGCTAGAAAAATCAAATACAGTAGTGACAAAGAACAAAATAATGACAGAAATGGAATGGAAGGAAATGGGAAAATGGAATTTGTTTATGCAAATATGCTGCTAGAGGAAGTGATTGAGATGAAATAACTAAACCAAGAGGCCCATGTTAGGGTTAGCAGGGAGGAAATCAGAGTCAGAATTACAGGGTGTTAAGAAAGCCTGCATTAGAAAGCTCTTGAGATATTAAGAAGGAAGATCAGTTGATAGAGCAGATTAAAAACCTCTCAGGTATTCTTGAGGGAATGATAATGAATACCAGGAGGTTAGTAAATTAACAAGATATATAAGGCAGTTAGGAATTGTCAGTATCACATATTTCTTGACCAATGATATTTAAAATATTTGCACATTTACTGTCATGTCTCTGCCAAATTCAACTTTGTCTGAAGAGCTCTGTATCACATTATGTCTATGAACACATACTCTTCCTTCACATACCCTAGGCTTCATCCAAGCTGAATTATTGCTTCTTCATTCACAGGCTGCAGTTCCCAACCACTATGTCTTTGTTTTTGCTGTTTCCTCTGATGAGAATGTACTTTTCTAATTTTACCCCATATTGGGATGATCAAATCTTACCCTTCTTCCAAGGTCCAACTCAAAAGCCCGTTCAAAAGCCACCACTTCTACTGAGCCTTCCCAGATTCTCCCCCTACTCCTCTCCACCACCATATGCAGAAGCTCACTCACTCTTTCCACCTTGAGAGGGTTTATCTGTCACTGTCTCAGATGACATTTAGCAGCAGTGGTATCTACATATTTATACTAATGTACGAATTTTGCCTTCTCCACTCGCCTGTAAATTCTTTAAGAAAGAGCTCCAAATGAATTCAGCTTTGTATTCCTCATCCAGCACACAAACACCAAACACACATCACACACACACATATGCATGCAGCAACTGCAACACAATACCTTTAACTGCTTGCATACTCAATAACTACTGTAGAAAGAGTGAGAAGGAAGGAATGTGAGTTTACTTTATGGAAAGACAAATGTATTGGAGCAATCAGTTGGGTTTATATAAAAAGTTGAGAGAGAGGAATTTTGTTTGGCTAATTTTTATCATTTGCTGCAACTTGGTAATTATCTATTTTTAGGTACTAACGTTATTTCTAATCTTCACAGCAACTCAGTAAATACCTATTATTATCTTCTACTTTCCAGATGAGGAAAATGAGTCCCAGAGAATTTTAGTAACTTGGCCAAGATCACACAGCTAGTAAAAAGCAGAGCTGGGAGTTGAACCTAGACCTGCCCTACTTCAAAGCCTGTGTTCTTTCTATGAGCACATTTTTAACAAGCACTTTTAAAAATTATTATCTCATTTGTACACAGCACAACTGCAGGGTTGGATTCTGTCCCTCCTGCTGCATCATCCAACTCTATACTCCCACCTTCCCCCTTAGTCACCCCATAACCTAAGTCCTTTAGAGGGAAGCCTTAGTATCTAAAAGATAAGCACCTTTTACATTATTTTTTAAATGATGAACCATAAATTTAAATTTTACCTTTGATCAAAATGTACATATGCCAAGTTTTGAGCTTCTTTCTAAACTTTCTGATATTATCTTTCCTTCTCCCATCCCCTTTTGTTCCCCTCCCTCCCTCTTCCCTGCTTTTCTCCCTCTATCCCTCTTCCTCCATTTCCTTCTCTTCCTCCCTCTCCACCAACTTCTCTCTCATCCCTGCCTTCTTGGTACCATCAGCTCAGACTTATTTTGCTTTCTGGGTCAACCAATATTGGCAAAGCCCAGAGAGTAGGGGTCCAGGAAATAGAGAAGGCCAGATCCCTACAATATGTGCCTCCCCAGGAGTGGGATTATAACAGAGGATTCCTATACTCCTGTTAGGCTTCGATGATGGTTGCCTTGGCTCTTAACTAAGGCACCCTGGTTAGCACATCACTAAGGTTCAATGAAACCACAACATTTAACTCATAAAGCAAATATGCTAACACAAGATTCCTTATTAGGAAACCAAAAACATGCTGTGACCTAAAGGATGCCAAAATGATCTCTCTGTCCCCAGGATATCTCTCTTAACAGAAGGGTCTTGAAGGAGTTGCAGTCTGTCAGAATACCCTATGAAAAAAACAAACACCCTCAAGAAATTTCCTTTTAAACCCCTGTAAGATAGTATACTTCAGTAGGGATTTACATTTCCAAAGTGACAGCTATTCAAGAGGAAAGACCTCCTAAGTATAGGAAAAGAAATAAAGTAAGAAGATGACAAATGTCATAAAGGGATAGGAAAGAGTGACAAATTTTGACTTCTTCAGAGTTGTCCTGGGATAGACTCTGTTTCCATTTAATTACCAGGTGCTCTGGATCCTAGTCATATGCATGAATAGATCTTCTTCAGCTTTCCAAAATCCATAGGAATTAGGAATTCCCAGTACCCCAGTGCTGTGTTATGGTGTGTTGTTGATAATGAAGTTTCAATCTGTCCTAAGCACATGATGGGTTAAATTTAAGAAAGTGCTGCAAACTCTAACGCAATCATAGGAATAACATGTTGAACAAAACAGACACCAGGGTGGGACTGCCCCCAAGGGGTAGCTGGGCATTGTGCCAGAGACCCATGGGGTAACGTGTCCTGTTGATTATATTCCAGGGTAAGAAGAAGGAAAGCTAGGAGCCTGAATTGCTTAAAAATGCATCACAGTCAGTTTTGGGGGATGAAGACCCCTGCAGAAACCTAAAAATGTTCAGATTGTACATTTACTAGCAAAATAAAATTATGTTTCTTAGTGGAATGTACGAAGTAGAATTTCAACTCATTCAGCCTTTCCCTTCTCTTTCTTCCTAAGCTAACAATCAACATATGTATCTTATTAACATAACTGAGCATGAACATTTCTTATTATTGTGCAGCCTTTTCATATCTGTTAACTGAACATAATTGTCTTTTTTTCCCTGAAATATTCATTTGCCCAGTTAACAAAACTTTATTTACTTAAAATGTTTTCTTAACCATTCTAAGGGCTCCATAAATTCCATCGTGTTGTGAGTGTAAGAAGTAGGATTAAAGTGTGGGGGAAACATGAAGAGAGTTTGGATGTGATTACTTTCCTATTCTTACTTGACTAATTCAGGATATTAAAACCACTTTAGGCATCTTGACAAAAGTCAGTATAGCTCTTTCTTTCCACTCAAAAGAGAATAATTCTCGATGTTTAGGCAGTTTGGAACTTGTACCAAAAGACACTGAATTTGGTCTTTGCTGTTTAGTGGAGGGGAGTGGGGGAAGAAAGTTCACTGTGTTTACCCACTGAATAAATATGCCTGTAGGCAAGGCAGTGTTCAGTGCTTTAGTCAAAGGACTTTTTAAACATCTATCTTGGCCGTTCCACAATCCCCATGTTAATCATCTCATCTTCCTGCTAAGGTACCTCCAGTTCTGATTCTAGAGAATTTTTTTGGTAAACTAAATCATCCATAATCCAGCCAGGAAGAAAAGATAAAAGCTCCTGAGGGGTAAAAAAAAAATCAATGCTTTAAAATCCATGTGCTATAGATTTATTCATATGAGAGCCCTTGCTCAACTCCTACACAATTCGAGAAAGTTCACCAATCCAGTTTTCTGATTCACTGATGATAAGAAAGAATAAATTATAATGAATTTATTGCTACTACAGCTTATTATTACTGTCACTATTATTAAACATTGTTGGGTGTCACTAGCTGCCAAATATTTTTCTAAGCCTTTTACATACATCATTTCACTGCCTCTTTGTGACAACTCTGAAAAGTTAAATACAATTAAAAGCTCCATTTCACAGCTTCATAAACTGAGGTGTAGACTCTAAATTTTAGAGCAGCTAAGTAATTTACCCAGTTTGTATATACTTGGCTTATAGGTAGTGATGTAAAGGGCTATTTGATAGCAAAAGGTTAGCAAAATATAAAGGAATAAGAAAATAAAAGAAGTTGGAAAACATAGCAATTTGTAAGTTTGTATTTGGAGACAGACTGCTTCATATTTCTCAGTAGCTTTCAGAGGGTAACACAGTGTTACAAGAGTGAAACTGGTGGGTTTCTGTAAGTATGACTCCAAACAATTAAAATAGATCAAATTATGTTCAAATCATCTACTTAATAGTGGATAAGGACAGGTAACATATGCTTTAGATACCTCTCTGATTTCTTCATAAAGTAAACAATAGTGTTTTGGCTTCTCAAATGGGAGGAAGGCTTCAGATATCTGAAAAATTAGCATCAACAGAGCACATCATTCCCTGATGATGGTGGTATTTTTTTAATATTTATTTTTTAAGTATAGATGGACACAATACCATGCCTTTATTTTTATGTGGTGCTGAGGATTGAACCCAGGTCCTGCCCGTGCTAGGCGAGCGCTCTACCACTGAACCACAATCCCAGCCCTGATGGTGGTATTTTTATGTATGGTACACCTCTAGAAAAGAAAACATTAAAAGGGAGGGAGAGAATAAACTCAAACTGAAAAAGATCTTGACTTTTCAAGACCTCCACATTCAGGTTCAGCTAGCCCAGATTGTGAGTTTGTTATGTTTTGGGTTTATTCCATTTCCAGAGTTTATCTCATTATGCTGACTAATGTGGAATTGACCATTTTTAAAGGAGACTTGAGATCATGTCTAAGTTGATATGTGATTTGAAGTGGCCAAATACAACCACCAACCCCACTCCTTACTGAGATGAAAATAACTGCCCCTGAGCCTTGCCTAAAATGGCCACATGGCTCAAGCCCAGGGTATAATTGTGATCTGGCATGAGAAAAGAAAGTGAAATACTAAGCAGGGTCACTTTGCAAGAGGCCAGTCCTTATCAGTCTACCTGGGTGCTGCCTGGAGCTCCAGAGTGGCTCAAGAAAGTCTGAGAACCCTGGGCCAGGATATTCAGAAAGTGCCAGGGGATATAAAAGACTGCCCCAACCAAGTACCCATCAAAAAAGTGGCCTCCCTCATATTCTTACCCTATTAAACTAGCCTAGGTCTGTCCATGGTAAAGATTCCAAAAAAAATTACAAGAAGGGATCCTAAGACCGAGTAGGTGGGCAGGGGAAGGGGCTGAAGGGCTGCAGGCTGCTCTCTAAGTGGAAATTAAACAAATGGCCCCGTGTGGATAAAGTAAGCGTAGGTTACATGAGACAGACATAAAAAAATCAAGTCTCAAACCGCTGTGGTCATTCAGAAATGTTTGCAACTTTTCACAAGGGCAGTGGTATTACTCCCAATTTCCTGGCCAAATATTTATTAAGGTAACCAAGGACAGAGTACACGAGGCTGCTTCACATCAGCACAGCATCCTACTTTCCTTGCGGCTCTGAACTGTGAGGTACTGTCAAAAAAACTCTTCCACACTCGAAATAGCTACGTTACAGAGGAGAGTTGGAACGTGTTCTGGGAGTGGGTGTGTTTGTTTGAGTTCAGTGTGTGCAGAAAAGGCAAGCCTCCACAGCCATTCACACACTTCCCTCCTCAGCGATGGGTACGCAGACAGCCGAGCTCCTGCACTAAGTCTCTGAATGGTAATGTACATTTATAAAGATTATTTTCTTAACTATTTTGAGGCATTTTATAAATAATATGCATGTGTCTGCTGAGCGCATATGTGTGTATATATATATATATATATATGCATATATACATGTATATATATTTAGTCAACTTTTGCTTGTTTTCTCCTGGGGTTGGTCATGTGTGGTTACTTATGTGGTATGATTTCTGAGGTGTCAGAAAGAGCTGTCCCCTACCTCCTACCCTAGTCACCCAAAAATATCTTTTGGGTTGGCCCACCACAGAGCCTAAAATCCCCTTATTGCTCAAATATTTGATTTAGTCACTGAAAGCAGCTGTTAAAATCCAAGTGTTGCATTGGGGTATTAGGCAGACATTTGAAATTAAAGACCATGTAAAACAAAACAATATGGAGAAATTGCTTCTGATATAATGTTAAGAATGCAAAAATGACGTGCAAAGTCTGGGTCAGGTGCTATTCTTAAAATGTAATGGGGCCAGAGCCAGTATCTATGCACCAGTTCATGAATATGAGCTTGTGATAAGAGAAACCCAGCACTGTTGGACAGATTTTGTTCTGATTTATGTTGAATGAGTGCTTTCCACAGTTTCTGATCCTCAGCTCCCACTCTCTTCACAGTGTATCTGACACCTCCCCTTGCTGAGCTCCAGAGGCTCCCAGTGACCTCTTGGTAATCAGCCTTGACGGGTCCCAAATCCCCACCCCTTGGAAAACTCACGGAGCCTGACATCTGCCTGTGAGCGGCTTTCAGAAAAGACCTTACAAGCACCCACCCAATCTCTCTTGGTAGCAAATTGCCAAACCAAGCCCATTTCCTCAAAAGATGGTAGAGGACTTAGCTGCCTCCTATATTGCTCTGAAATTGGAGAACGAAATTCTGCAGGCCCAAGTGCAGCGTCTGATGGAAGAAAATGCTGCCCTCCAGGCCCAGATCCCAGAGCTCCAGAGAGCCTGTGCAGCCAAAGGGGATGAACCCCTCCAAAAGCCCTCCGAGGCCCAGGAGCCACAGAAGTCCCCAGAGCCCCAGGCTCTCCCAGCAACCTGGGGATTCCAAGAGTCCCCAGAGATCCAGGAGCCCCAGGAGTCCCCAGAGGCACGGGCTCCCCAAGCAACCTGGGGGTTCCAAGAGCCCCCAGAGATCAAGGAGCCCCAGGAGTCCCCAGAGACCTCAGCTCCCCCAGCAACCTACGGGTTCCAAGAGCCCTCAGAGATCAAGGAGCCCCAGGAGCCCACAGAGGCCTTGGCTCCCCCAGCAACCTGGGAGTGCCGAGAGCCCCCAGAGACCAAGGAGTCCCAGGAGTCCCCAGAGATCAAGGAACTCCAGAAGTCCCCAGAGCCCTTGGATACCCCAGCAGTCTGGGAACTCCAAGAGCCCTCAGGGAATGAGGAGCCCCAGGGACCCACAGAGCCCCAGGAGCTCACTACCTGGAAGCCCACAGCATTCCAGGAGCCCCAGGAGGCCCAGAAGCCCTGGGAGCCCTCAGGCACCCAGGATACCTCAGCGTCCCAGGAGCCCCAGAATTCAGAACCCCCATATGCCCCAAGTGCTGAGGAATCCCAGGAGGCACCACAATGCCAGAAGACCTCAGCACACCTGGAGCTCCTTGAGCTTCCAGCTCCCCAGGAGCCTCTGGAGCCTCGGGTGCCCCAGGAGCCCCTGGATCCTTCAGATACCCAGGAGTTCCTAGGACTCCCAGCACCACCCCAGGAGTCCCTGGAAGGCTTAATAGTGGTGGATACATCAGCCACCTCAGAGTTCCCTCAGGCCTCCAGTGGGTTAGAGGTTGCTGCTTTCCCCCTAGAATATCCTTTAGCCTTCAATGGGGATGCCCAGAAGCTTCCTGAGTTCCTGATCCAACTGAGTAGTTACATGAGAATCAGAGGGCACCTGTATCCCACGGAAGCAGCCCTGGTGAGCTTTATTGGCAATCGCTTCTCAGGTGAGGCAGGAAGGTGGTTTCAGCCCTTGCTGGATATACAAAGCCCCCTGCTGGAGCAATTTGAAAGTTTCTTACAAGTGCTCCTGGATACTTTCGACAATCCAGAAAACCTGGAAGATGCCAACTACCACACCCGTCAGCTGTGCCAAGGGGAGGGATCTCTCCACCAGTATGCAACCCATTTCCACCTTATTGCTCAAGATTTGAACTGGGATGAAAGCACTCTCTGCATCCAATTTCAAGAAGGGCTTGCCAGTTCTATCCTGAATGAGCTGTGTCTCACAAGTTCAGTCACCAGCCTATCTAATCTGATCACTCAATGTATCAGTCTGGAAGAGAAGCTGAGTGGTGAGGCTGATCCCAACCCACCAGGGGCAAGCCCTTCCAAAGACAGAGATAGGCTTGAGAGTCCACCAGCTGAAAATCAGCCTGCGCAAGCTGTGGGTAATCGTCCACACCTCAGTGAAGCTGAACGGGCCCGCCGCCGTGAAAGCCACTTGTGCCTCTACTGTGGCCATCCTGGTCATTTCGCCAGAGATTGCCCTGTCAAGCCACAACGTGCTCAGCAGGCGGGAAACATCGAGGCCCGGCGGTAAGGGGGACCCCGGGCGGGCCAATCTACAAATATGCGTCCCCCTGTCTTCCAATATCCATGTCCCGTACCCTATGGCTGACTGTTGAAATCCGACTGGGAAGACGACAGTTCTTTGAGCAAGCAATGGTGGATTCAGGCTCCTACAGAAACAGCATTGACCATTCCGTGGTTCTTCGAGAGAAGCTGCCCATCCGCAATAACATCTTTCCTCTGATGCTCGAAACTGTTGATGGACGTCCGTTGATTAATGGACCCATAACCAAGGAAACACCACCTGTTGAAGTCAAAATTGGAAACCATGTTGAAGAGCTCCAGTTTGACATTATTCATGCTCCGAGGTACCCTCTGATTCTTGGAATCCACTGGCTGGAAACGCACGACCCAAACATCGAGTGGAGTACTCGCACTGTGTCCTTTCCATCACGTTATTGTCACTACAATTGCTTCAGGCACAGATGGAATAGAAGACGTCGTGATGAAATAATTGCTGGGTAGATCCTGGGTCCTAGTGACTTCTGGAAACCTGTCTTCTGTTACCTCAGCTGTCATCAGCATTTGCTGCTCTGAATCTTCCATTGAACCTCTGGCTATGAACTAAGGCTACCTGTACAACGACCCTGCCTCTTGGATCATGGATTGAACCTGACGACTTTGAGCTGCTTTTTTTTTTTTTTTTCATTTACCTTGCATGAATTCCCTCCCCCCCCCCAACCCCTACATTATGTGGGGCTATTTCAATTACAATTTATACTAACAATATGCATGAGAATAGATATTAGAAACTAATACTGAAAATCGTAGCTATTAGATCCACTTAATTTTTTTTTCTTATCAAGATTTTCTTTAGCATAAAATTGCATGTTTCAATAAAATTCATTTACAAGTGATATTTTTTAAAAGAATCAATAAACATTGGCAATTTCTACCCTTGTTTGAATTATTTCTTGGCTTAGCTGAGGGAGGGGGATAAGGGAATGGTGGAGGGTGAGAGGGAATTGGAAAGGGCTCAAAGTTTGGGTGGGGTCCTGAACATTCCAGGAGTAGTAACAGGTAATGAGGTGATAAAGTAGGGGGAGATGTAGACATTAGGGAAGGATTGGGGCTGGGATTGGGTGAGGTTTGGAGGGATTAGGAGGAAAGTGGAGGTGAGTTTCAGAAGAAAGTTTGGGGAGTGACTGGGAGGAAATGGTTTAGGGGAAGGCTGCTGCATGGAGAGGGAAGGGGTGGGGGAGGAAATTCTTACAATTAAAGGGAGCAATGACAGAGACATTGAGAAACTTTGAAGATAAGCATCTTGGACTTCACAAATTAACCAAAGAAGAGCAACGGAACAGGTAATCACAGCCCCTTGGTGACCCAGCCCTCCCTGTAAATTGTTAAGGTCTTATTTCCTATACCAGGGAAATTTGCCCTAGAACTTGTCCCTAATTACCTGCTCTTACCAGTGCATAGGAGCAACAGTGTGGCAGGAATCAGCTTTTTACACAGGCAGATTGTTATTAGCTACCTCTCCTATACTTACAGATTTTCCTGCCCTGTTAGCCATGCTGCCTGCATGACACACCCATAAAGCAACTTAAGAGAAAAGAACTTATACACTTGTGGACCTGAGAGGGAGCTAGTGCCCTGGCTTAAATCCCCCCCGCCACACACACACTACAGGGTCCAGGGGATGGAGAGAGTGGGACTCCAGGTGCAATGTGAAGAAAGGTAAAAGCAGTTCCTAATAATTTTCCTGCATGCTTGCAACCTTCCTTTGAAACCGTTTGAATGGGATTCTTCCTTTTACTTAGACAATTATCAAATAAATGAGCATAATCCTAGAAGTACACAAGGGAGGAATTTACCATTCATTGAGTGCCTAATATGCTCCAGTTACAATGTCAGGCATTTACCAACACAACATATCTCATCCCTTCTCAGAACAATTCAGTGAAGTAAGTATGTTTGTTCCTATTTGACCAAAGAGCAGAGTCCTAGCAAGGCTAGTTCAGTTGCCCAAATTTAAACAGTAAGTGTGCCCTTTCACTTACAGCCACCAGTATGCCCCAGTGGTGAGGGCTTAAGGAGATTGTGGCAGCAGGAAGCTAAATAGGACAATTCCCAAAAGGAGGAAAAACTCAGAAGGATAATTTCAGGGACCATTTGGGTAGTAATTTCATTTCCCAGATTCCCTTGATTTCATCCCCAGACCCCTCCTCATCCCCTAAACTTCTTTTTTCATCTCTGGATTTCCTTTTGTGTTTTAACTAATGGCACAACCTCATTTCAGATTCCATGGTAGTTTTCATGACAGGTTGAAGGTCCTGGAAAAATTACCTGCAGGATTCATGCCTTGCTTAGCAGCACCACCTCCTCAAATTCTCTGCCTAGCCACTTCCATAACCAATCTAAATTTTGTGCAGCCCTAAATTTCACCTCTTCTAGTCCTCACTGGCCTCCTCTTCCTTTCCTTAACAGTCTAACATATTTGGGCATTATAAGAGCCTTGTGGTATGTGGGCCCTTCCCCAGGTGTGCATCCTATAACCCTCCCAGTTACCCCCACACATACTTAGCCTGCGTACAGGGACAGAATCATTTGCATCTCAAACCTTGATAGCATAGCCTAACATAGTTCCTGGTACATAAATCCGTCTTCATAGCAACTGATTCAATGACATTTAATTATCATTACCCAGAGAAATGGGCTTATTTGTATGCTATGGGTTTGTCTGCTTTTTTTTTTATGTTATTCAGTTGTTCACCCCTACTCCCAGGACCAAACACTATTTGTCAATGTAGAATTCAAGAAAAAGAGAGAAAAAAATCTTTAAACAGACACAAAGGAAAAAAGAAATCTTTTATTAGTCAAACCGTTCTACAGTTAAAAACACCAACTGTGTTTGATTTCCTCAGCCTGAGAGGATTCAAGGGACACAGTTCTCTATGTTCAAACTGGAACAATTTTAGTCAAATTGAGATTGTTAGTTAATAAACCTGGACATGACATTTTTTCTCTCAGGATATACAGGCTTATTTAACTAAAGTGCAATTCTTTATTTCACAATAAGGATAGATTATCTAATCATAGAATCACAGACCTTGTGAGTTGGAAAAGATTCAAGAAGACTAAACCCTTAATTTTACAGAGGAAGCTGTTAAGGAATCCCAGAGAAAGAAAACTTAACATAGCTCAATGTTAACTTGATCTCCTGACCCCAAATCCAATGCTCTCCCTTCACCATGAACCACTACTCTAATCTAATAGATAAAAATTGAGTGTGTGGCCAACACTGATCTAGGTACTCTCAACAGTTTTTAAATTACAACACGAGAGGGTTACAATGTGGTTAGGATTAAAAAAAACCAAAACAAAAAAAAACAAACAAACAACAAAAAAAAAACACCAGCAAGCATTATATAGCTAGCATGGATATCCAAATGCTAAATTCTTCTTTTTTAGGGGAAGGGGTACTAGGGATTAAGCCCAGGAGCAGTCAACTACTAAGCTACACCCCCAGCCCCTTTTTAAAGTTTTTATCTTAAGACAGGGTCCAGCTAAATTGCTGAGATTGTCCTGAAACTTGCAATCCTCCTGCCTTAGCCTCTCAAGTCTCTGGGACTACAGGTGTGTGCCACCATGACTGGATCAAATAACAAATTCTTTGGTGGCAATAAATATAACAAATTGAAACTAAAACATGCTATCTGATAAAGTTAACAACTTCTACATAACTTGCTTTTTGTCAGACATAATGTTGAGTGATAGGAGTCTTTTCAATTATCCACAATGTAAATATTATTAGCTCCTTCATAAAAATGAAAGAATTGAAGCCTACTAAATTGGGGTCATTTGCCAGGGGCCATGCTGCTAGAAAATGGTGGATCTTTAAAATAAACCCTAATCTGTATCACTCAAATATGGGGTTCTATCCAATTTTACTACACAGCTTCTCAGAATAAATGATCATTACGATTTATTAAACACCTTAATAATATTGATTCACTAGACATGAGTTCTATTGCCCTACAAAAAATATCAGTTGATTAAATCAGTCATTAATTCATTCATTCAAAAAGAATTTACTGAATGCCTGCTATGCATCAGGCATAGGAATGGGGGGAAAGGAAAGAAAAGGAAGAGGAAGAGAGTTACAACTATATATAAAATATGAATCATGATTCTTGCTTTGACTACAATTTAACTGGGGAAACTATTGTGTAGCATAGTACTATGATGTCCAGAGGAGAGAACACTAATTCTCCTGTGGACTGAAGAAGTACATTTTGAAATGGGTCTTGAAGGAACTTCATTGGAAACAAGACACCACTGGGCAGGAATTTCTAAGCTGAGTAAAGTGCAAACGAAAAAGCAAGCTGGAAGAAAAATGCTCAGTGTTTTCAGAAAAATAGTTCCTGTCACTCGAAAGTAAGGGTGTCTGTGTGTGTGTGTGTGTGTGTGTGTGTGTGTTTGTTGTGGGTGGAGGTGGGGAGATAAAGCTTAAAGAGAGGTTGGAAGTCTCAGAAACTGAACACTTATCTACGCGGCTAAGGAGCTCAAATTTTATGTCCTGGGCAATCTTTTTTCGATTTTAGATGTGGGTATATTTTTCTCTCCTGCTGTAAGTTGATGCATACTTAGTGCAACAAATTTATATGTCAGGAATTGATAACATAAAAAACAAAAGTTTTCCCTTTCTCCTTGTCCTCTTGTCTTACAAGGTAAGGGTTAAATAGGAGAAAAACATGCTTAGTGTTTATTTTTAGTAATTTGATAGGGGTATGGAAAATATCAAGAGAAAAAGTGACAAAGTACTCCCAGTTTTTTACCGTCTTAGATTTTATACAGATGGGATCAAACCATCAAGGTAAAGAATTAAACATAAATTAAGTTTAATTTTTCTCAAATATTCATTTTGAAGAATTATTGTGAACAAGGCTTTGAGGTACACACAGACAAATAAAGGATAATTATGTCCTTACCACGAATTTTATAGTATAATAATGGACAAAGATTCAT